TAAGACATGAGTACTCACCTTTAAAGCTCTAACAAATAAGGTCAGTGTTCCATCATCTATATCTATACTATTATAAAAGAGCCAATGAATCTGTAAAAATATATTTTACCTAAAATATCCTTATTTTATGATCTTTATAATGGTAAATTAGTAACTTAATATCCATCCTTCCTATCACAAATGATATGATTCCCGAAAAGCTCATCCTGCGACTTTATAATTGAATGGTCATAGGCTATGGGATAATGGGAACCAATTAAAAATCTTCTTTTCGCGGGCCCAATTGACAGTGCTCGGTGAGCTTTCAGATTACCATTGAACATATCCTGGTGAACATAAATACATAATCAGAAATGAAAAAGAGCTGGCATGTATATTTGTTACCTTTTTTTTGTAATATATTTGCACTTGATAAGTTAATATCAATAACATTTAATTGCATTAAAATAAATTTCTAAATATTATATAAAACAAGTAAAATTTAAAGGGAAGTACTATCCTCAAAATGTAATATAAATATAAATTTGTTACAGCTCTAAATGTATGTTCTTTTCATATTACTAATTACATAACTACATGTCATAATAAACAAAGTTGATATAACATAATTATATAAACTTTACATGGAACAAATAACATGACATATAAAACTACTCAAATGCTTTTTTCGGAAAAACGTGGTATCAAGCAGGACAGATGAGAAAAAAAAAAATAACATGAAAAAAAAAAATGAATTCTGCACATGAATTTTTAAACATAATAGCAAATATTGAAAATATAAAAAGCATATTATTATTTACTTCTATTTTTAATTTATATTTAGATAAATTGCTAGGACTTAAATATTTGAGCATGCTAATAAATTGACTAGAGAAAATAATAATTCTAATATCAAATTTTATTTTATTATACTATGAATCTTTAAATCATGTACTAAATAATAAAGTGCCTTTCATAAAGTAAAGTTTAACAACTATTTTCAATAATATTTTTATCGAAAAAGTAACAAAAACTTATAAACTGAGAAATAATAAAAAAAATCTACTCTATAATCGAATAATGAATAACATGTAAAAAATTAAATACGAAGACATATTGTCAAATAGATAAATATTGATTGCTTGAGATATCTTTTATATGTGATATATTTATAACAGTAAAACTATAATAACAATGTTTAGTAAATGAGATAATAATATAATTTATGGTAAAAGCATAATTATGCACAATAACAAATAAAATTTAGTTGACTAAAAGTTGAACGTAATTGACAAATAAATTATAAAATATGTCAACTTGAATAGTGATCATTATCACATTTCATACATGTTTCTATCATGATGAACTATATACAATATAGTGATATATTAATAGAATTAGTAAAAAATAAATAATACATAAATATCTTTTATTCCATGAAATATTATTTCAAATAAACAAACGATTTTTTGATTGTCAATATCATAAACAAATTCATTTTATTTTTTTTTATTACCCATGAAAAATATACATGACCATGCCGTAAATTGAACATTAATATTTATTATGTACGAAAATACAATATAAATAAAATATAAAATGATAAAAGCTGCTTTATAATCGAACAATGAATAACATGTAAAAAACTAAATATGAAGAAATATTGTTAAATAGATAAACATTGATTGCTTGAGATATCTTTTATATTTGATATATTTATAATTGTAAATCTATAATAAGAATGCTTAGTAAAAGAAATAAAAAGTATAATTTATTGTAAAATTGTAAGTATGCATGATAACAAATGAAATTTAGTTGACTAAATTAAAGTTGAACATAACTGTCAAATAAATTAAAAAATATGTCAATTAATAGAGATCATTATCACATTTGATATATGTTTCTATCATGATAAACTATATAAATTATAGTGATATATTTTATAAAGTTAATATAATACATTTTATAATATAAAATAAATAAAACATAAATATCTTATATTCTATGAAATATTATTTCAAATACAAAAATGGTTTTTTGATTGTCAATATCTATCATAAACTAATTCTTTTTATTTTTTTTTGTTCATCACCCATAAAAAATATACATAATTATGCCATAAATTGAACAATGAGATTTCTGATGTACGAGTATACAATATAAATAAAATATAAAATGGTATTTAATAACTTTTTTTACATATTTAGTGATTTATAATAATTATATTAGTTTATTTCTATATCATTTTAGTAAGTTTCAAAATTTCATGATTCTCAATAATTGGTTTTGATATATTTATAATTATATTATCTTTTTAAATTTAAAAAATACGGTATATATTGCTTATTTAAAGAACACTTTAAATTATTCTTGTACTATCATTTATTGACGACTGAAATAATTATTGCTGAAGTACACAAATTCTTACTATATCTTTTGTAATTTCTATTTATGATAGGTGATTAATTATATAGTTTGAGAATTTGTTTTTCTATTATTCAATTAATAAAACACATATAAACTATAAATATAGTGTTCTGTTGTTTAAGTGATTTGAGCCAAATATTCAAAACAATAAAATCATTTGTATCCATATACTATACATAAATGGTATATAAACAATGACGTAATTGTCTTTGACGATAAAAAAAAGAATAATAAATTGAGTATAAATTGTATACATTATCCGACTAATTATACATCCTCCATTAGTTTCATAATTTTATGAATAGAGACTGTAACAAATATTTTAGTTTTTAATCAAGTATTTTAAAAATTGAACAATGGTCTGGGTTGACTATTATCATTTCTTTTGGAGGCTTCATAAAAATCAATAGAAAATAACATTATATGTTAGTTATTGATAGTTAAAATTTTGTTCATTTGTTGCTTTTGGAAAAGAGAATTGTTGTTTCAGTTCAAATCTATGTTTTTAAAGATCTTTTTGTGTTTGAAAAAAAATATTTATTCTTCAAAAGTGGTCATTTTTGGTTGTTGGTGGTGTAAGAAACAATTCTCATTTTCACTTAAGACAATTTATAAGTAATTTAAAATTTTCTACTTATCTATTTATTAAAAAAATATTAATAAAATAATTATGATGATATTTTATAAATATATTAATTATAATAAATAAATATTAAATAAAAGATCAATTATACACAATAAAAAAAATTATAATAAAAAAATATATTTTTAACCAAAAAATGTGGTTTGTGTGTGAAACTAATAAAGGTTGTGTAATAATGTAAAAATGTGTTAAAAGAATTACTATAGATACCCTAACATGTGTATTTAATTTTAATAAATTTTCATATTAACCTAACAACTAAAACATTCATATATTCTCGATAGGTATACTACACTCAATCGAATAGTCATACTTTAAAAATAAAAATAAAAATAGGATATTTTATTGTATATGTATATATTTTTATTTAAAAAAGTATGATGGATCAATCCGTCTAATAGCTATTTCGTCTCATACAAGAAATTTTGCGAACTAATATTTCAACTTAATAAGTAATTTAATCAATGTATTTTATAATAAATTATCAATTAAATGAAATTACATCTAATATAAGATAACATATGATATATAAATACAAATTGAATGAAAAAAATATATTTATTAACACATATTAGACGAAATTTTGACCAAGTTTAGACGTGTATATATGTTTGTATATATGTTTAATTTGAAAAGTTTAAATATTACGGTTCATCTACATCACGCATTGGAGGGAATTTTACACAAGTTATTCAGTCGCAATATTAAATGTGACGTGAAAACAAAATTATAGCTCATTATACATAATATGAAACTTTTAATTTAAATCAATTTATTTATTAAGTGAAAAATAAAATATAATTTACCAAAATAATAATTTTGATGTTCTTGAAATATTTTTATGATTATTGAAATTTAAATGAGATTGTGTACCATATGTTTGTAGTTGTTCATGAAAAATAAAATAGTATTTGAATGAAAAAAAAACTAAAATTCATGACGAGAATATAAATAATATTTAAAAGAAAACTATGTCACATAAAAATTACTATAATATCCTTGTAAAAGATTCAATTTAGTTTTATTGTGCAATTTTTTAATCTTCTCCAAACA